CAATTGCGTCGGTCTGGAACCCTGGATCCAGGGGCGGTGCGTCTGGCGTGGGCGCCCAAACGCTGGCGCCCTCTTCCAATGCATCGCCGCTGCCTCTACCTCCATCAACCATGGGTGGATCTGCCAGGTTCTCGAGGGGATGGGTTCCCCGGGCACATGTTGCAGGCCGTTGTGTGCTTGTATTCCGATGTCTTGGTCGGTTTCACGTTTTGAAGAATGAAGTTTCTTGGATGGGCCATTCGGAGAGGCGCGCTGCAAGGGTGCCTGTCTTGCGCGATGGGCCCTATCTTAGCGATGGAACCTGTCTTGCGCGCGCTGAGTCAGCGGGTTATGTCTTATACTGGTCGCCTCTTCTTCGTTGGCGATGACGTCGGATGTGCCCGTCGCGGCGAGTGCCTCTCCTTGCGCGTCATTACCGCGGGGGTGGCGCAGAGCGCAGTCGTCGCTGACATTTCTGTGCACGTCCACATGCGTGTTGTTGTCTTTGCTGGGCTTCGGCCCTCCCCCCTGGAAGCCGCGCGAGCCTCTCGGGGCACGGGGCTGACGGTTCGGGAAGTCAAGCCCTCCGGCGCTGGAGAAACCTCGGCGCTTTCCAGGGCACAGGGATGCGATGATGGCTGGGAAGCGCCATGCGCGAAGATGCTAGATCGCGCGCAGATGATGTCTCAGGTCTCCCTGTCCTCTCCCACGTCTGGCATGCCCATCTGGTTTGCGAGCGCGCGATCGCCGCTGATCGCGCTGCGCTGCAGCGGCTAGCCAGACGCCGCGCTGCGCCATTTCTAGTTCCATTCTGCGTAGGATTGGGAACGCTGGGTGGCGGCTGATCCTTTAGGGGCCTGGTCTGTTCTGATCGGGCCGCTATGTTTCACGCCGCCTCGGGTCCCGGGGAGCTCGGAGATGCCGCGGCGCGTTCCTACCCCATGTTCACTGGAGTACACCGATGTCCTTTTCGCCCCGCGTCTCCCCAGTCGGCGCGTGCAGTCGGTTGCGTATAAGCGGATTGCATGTCGGAGAGATGAGCGATCGTTCCTGCGCTCGCGGGCCCCGACGCTACTGCGCTGCAAAGAAAGACAGACAAGTTCCTTCGCTTGGGGCACCTCTCCCCCCCCCCCTGTGCTCCTGATCTCCAGGGGCGCGCGAGGTACTTTTTGCCTGCCCCCCCCCTCCCGTCGGTGATCGTGCCCTGATAAATCTGCCGAGCGCAAGCTGTAAGCTTGCGCCGTGCATCGAGAGCGCCCATGTCCGCATTGCTTGCGCTGCCTGGCTCGCCGCCCACAGGTTCCGGCAGCGAGCGGATATCTGCAGGTTCGGGCGTTGCGCGGTCGGGGGAGATGAGGCGGTGCACTTCTTTGCTTGTCCCACCCTTCTCTCTCTGCCGTCTCCTCTCGCCCCTGCCCGGCCTTCCCACGCGGCGTGTGTTCGCGCGCCAAACGCCCGAGTCTGCGTCTGGATGTCGGCTGGCCATGCGTATCATTTCGCGGTTTAATATGCTCGGCGCGCGGCCGCGTGCGAGCCGGCGGGAAATGCGGGCCCGCGGGGGCGCTCGCTGTCGGCAAAGCCCGCAGTCGAGTTCTGGCGCGCAGGCACGTTGAGGGGCGCGCCTTTCTCACTCGAGGCGCCCGGAGGAACGCGGGCCCACGGGGAAGCGAGCGCTCTTCCGCGGTGCCCTGGGGGGCTCCGCCACTGCGAAGCTGGCGTTGGTTGGGGCCCCCGCGGTCGCGACAGCGATGGCGCCTGCGATCCAGCGGCCGCGGATGGTCTGGGTGGCTGCGTCGCAGCCGCAGCAGGCTCCAGCCCCACTCGCTCGTCTATCCACGCGGCGGCGGCGAGCAGTGGAAGCGCGAGGCCCACGCAGCAACTCGGGCGATGCCGCAGGGCCGCTGCAGCGCGCAGCGCTTTCTATCCAACGCGCAGGGCGGACGCCGAAGACGGGGCTGCCGCGGGTCAACCACCGAGGAGATGAAGTGGAGGTGGGCCAGCTTACGCCATCGATGTTGCCCGCGACGCTGCAGCAATGGGGTCCAACGCCAGCGCGAGAAGGCGCTTGCCGGCAAGATGGGGGCTCGGGGGCGCAACGAGGATGACCTTCGACATCCTGGCGCCCGTGATCTCTCCCAAGGGCAAGCGCTACACGGCCCACAGAAGTCCTGCTTGATGAACGTGGCGCGCTGTGGAGTCTGGGCCCAACGTCGCGCTCAGCTTGCTGGGTGCCGATCCGATGTGGGATGCCAATGCGGAACTGAAGATGCGCTTCTCCACCGCCCCGTTGACTGCAAGCGCCCTGAAGCGCAGCAACCCCGAGCATAATCTGATATCTCAGCCGCTCTTATCGATCAGATCCGTCAGCCAGGGGGCGAGCCAATGTTAATACAGGAGGCTTTCGCCTATCCCGCCTCCGCCGTCCCGCCCCTGGACCCCCGGGCCACATGTGATATTCTCGATGCGCAGGGAGGAGTGAAGGATATCACGCCTGAACAGGTGGCCCAAGACGCCCTCGCAACTGAGGACGCGTTCATGGGAGTTGCCATCGGTGGGCCTTGCGCCATGCCACGAGTCCGCGAGTTCCAGCGAGCTGGATGGAGCGTCGTGACCCTGGGCCCGCGCTCCGGCATGCCCTTGCGATCCATGCGCGCGCCCGCCCCTGCCACCTCGTCGCAATCATCGGCCATGGGCGAGCACCTGGGCTCGGCTTTCGCCTCGGAGATCGCCGACCGCCCCTGCCAGGTCTACGCGGACTTCACAGGCGTCGTTCAGCTTGGCAACGTGGCCAAGGATAACCAGCTAAAGAGCAGGACCCCCTACGCGTGTGTCACGCATATCGCGCGGTCGCAGGATGGCTTCCAGTTCGCCCAGCAGCGCCGCCACGCCGAGGGCCACGGGTCAGGGGCGGGTCACGAAGCGTTATCAGCCCGCCAGCGCAGACTGACAGACGCCGACGTAGTGGCAGATGTGCGGGCCAAGCTGGCTGCAACCATGCAAACGGCACCTGATGAGCAGGTCGTGGAGGAGACTGAGGCGGCGGTCACCATGTACGGCAGGGGCGACCATCTACGGCAGGGACGACCAGACAAGATGGACTAAGCGGCCTGTTGCACACCGCCGAGCGACCAGTACCAGGAAGGAGACATGGCACCGATGGCAAGAAGGCGAGCTCGGCGTGCAATGGGAGACCTGTTTGCAGCTGCACACTCGTGGAGCGCCACTTCCACTTACTGGGTGTCAAGGCGCCCCGGCCTTCCCGAAGGAGTGCATGCCGATCCCGCAAGATCATGGGCTGGTCGCCGTCAGCCAGCGCGGCGCACTCGACGCCAATGAGACCACCAAGTCAGCCTTCATCTGCGTGGGGTGCGGAGCCTGGGCGCAGCAACGCCGACGATTGAAGCTTCGCTTACCATGCGCGGTCGCCACCGCAGAGGGCTTGGAGGTTCTGAGCAACCCAAAGTACGGCATCGGACCCCACAGGAAGCTCGGGCGATACATCGACGCGACCACCCTCGCGGGCAAGCTTCGCACGGGCGCGCTCGCCATCCGCGATTTGCACCGAGGTCCACATCGCCAAGACTGGCAATTCCGAGCTAGAGAACTCCAGCATTTGCGCGCAGAGGATGGCAGTGCCGCGTCCACGTGTTCGCAAAAATAAGATGCGCTTTCGTGAAGCCAAGGGGAGAAGAACACCATGGTCGGAAATGCGATGCGTTTTGGCGGCTTAACTCACCAGGCCATGGCGGCGCGCGCTGGGTCTCAAGCCGCGCAGACGAGTCAAGAAAGCGAACCAGGTGACAAGGTGAAAGACCGCGGCGACACTGACGCGGCGGCGAGGGCCACGGAGGTTGATGCCGAGGCCACGATGGGCGAGGATCACCACGGCATCTCGCACAGAGCCCCCCACGACGTAGAGATGATGACCGACGCGGTCGATGTCATGGCCGCGGTGGAGCAGGATCACCAGGGCATCGTCTCATAGAGCTACTCCCCTTGTCGGGGAGCCACTCTGCCAAGGAGTGGCGCCGGCAGAGGGGGCTGGGCTTGCGGACGTTGCCCTTCATGATGCCCCTTCCCAAATGGGTGCGCCTACCTCTGCGGCGGGATCCGCCTCCTCTGGCAGCGGGCTTCAACGTGCGCGCCTGCCTCGGCAAGGCGCGCCCCCGGCCGGGGCGGCAGGGGGGCGCGGGGGGGCGCGGGGGATTCAGCCTCCGCCCCCCCCCGCCGCGGGCGCAGCAGGGGGCGGCGGCCACGCTGCGCGCGCCTGGACAAGACCAGCGCCGACGAGGAGCGCGCGCGGCACGAGGGGGGCAGGGGGACCTTCACGAGCATGCTGGCGGGCAAGTTCCTCTACAGCTCGATGGCGGAAGGGGAGGTCCAGTTGGCGCGAGACGAAGGCCCAGCCATGTCGGCCCTCCTCCCAACGAGGGGAGTGGCTGGGCACCTGCGACCCCCAGTGGACTCAAGCTGCACGTGAACAACAGGGACGTGGCAGAGCACTGCCCGGAGGTGTACTCACTGCGCGACCACGTGATAGAGCATTGCCTGGCGGTGTACTCGCAGCACGTGAAGGAGCGGAACAGCCACGTGACGGAGGAGGGAGCTGGGCGCCAAGCAGTGGCCTGGCCCGAGCAGCACCTGGAAGCGTTCGAGGTCGCAGGCCGAGGGGGGAGCGGCGCGAACTCCAGGATGCTGGACTTCAAGCAGCTCGTCGCCATGGCTGCAGGGAGCTCGAGGCGGAGCTCGAGTTCGTGAGGCCGTTCGGCCAGGCCGCGATCCTCCCCTGAGGCTGGGGCTGGGCAGGCGCTCGACCCTCGACCTCCGAGGCCTGCGATATCGATATCCTCCTCTTCCTCCTCCTCGCCTTCGCCCTCTTCGCTCTCCTCTTCGTCCTCTTCCTCTTCGCCCTTCCTGTTCGGCCTCCTCTGCGCGGAATTACTCGCGCCTCGCCCAACGCGAAGCGCGAAATTAGTTGTCCTCGGTCGGTTGCACCCCCCCCGTCAACGAGCTTCCGACAGGAGGACCGCCCGCGGGGCACCGACGAGGAGAACGCGGCTGCTGCGAAAATCCAGGACTGCGGGGCTTTCGGGCGCGATCGGCGTATCGCCCATTCATCGCGGATCGTCAGAGAGAGTTTTGCTCCCGTACTGTTAATTGGTCCAAGGACACCACGCGCCGACGCTTTTCCGTCCTTGTGCTGCATCCCTGGCGCCGCAAAGTCCCGGATCTTTGTGGAGAATCGTGAACCCAGCCGTGGCGACAAGGGTTTTCCAGGAGGCACGGGAAGGCGAACGCGAGGAACGGGTATCAGCACCAGAAGAGCCACAGGGCACGCCACGAACCTGTCCGGACGGGTTTTCGGGAATTGTTGTTTGAGATTTTTTCTGCCGTCTTGAAGAGGCACCAGTCCCCCGCGAAACCTTGTATTTTTTAAAGGATACCGTTGCGTTTTCCGCGTTTTCGCGTTGTTGTGAATCCTGGGGGGTTTTTGTCGCCACGGTTGGATTCGCGATTCGCCACGTGGATTCGGGACCCTTGGGCGCCAGGGGTGTGGCGGATGGACGGGAAAGCGTCGGCGCATGGTGTCGTCGGAACGGGTGGTCCGCCTCGGTGGATACAATCAAAACCCATAACAAGCTTGGCGTGGTTTTGTCAACGTAACCCTTGCGTTCCTGCGCCGTCGGCCCATCATGAGCCATAGCGCTCTACATGGTACATTGGTCTTCCAAGGGTCGCGCATCCTTATCCTGCATCCTTAGTGTGAATTTCGACGGCATTCGCATCCAGCACGTTAGCTTCTGATTTCAGGCTACGGTTCACTGCGTGAGTTTGCCAATCGCAGTTCGGTTTGTGTGGGGTTCCCGACTTGCCGGGCTACTTTCGAACAGCTGTCGAATCCGAGTTCAAGCTTTGTGGTCGCGCTCATTTCCTCCGCCTCAAACAGAGAGGGCCCCCTGGAGAAGGGGGAGGAGGAGGAGGAGGAGGAGGAGGAGGAGGAGGAGGAGGAGGAAGACGGAGTGGAGAAGAGGAGGAGTATGGAGGAGTAAAACCAATTTCGGAAAGCAGAAACAAACATTGATAAAGGCAGATCTGGGGGGGAGGGCGTGGTGGCGTCCTATCTACGGGGTGCTCCCTGTTGAAATTTCAATTCAGCTGGCGTCGAAAACAAAAGCACAGCTGCCTGAACAGAAACTTTCGGAGCTCCGCGCGGATTTCTTGCATCGGCGCATTGAACCCCCTGGCGGTGGCCCCGGCGCGCTTCGCGCCCTGGCGACGATGGGGTCCAGCGCCGACCCAAGAAATCCGCGTCGACCTCCGAAAGTCAACGTTCGTGTAAATTTACGGTTTTCCAGGGCAGTCTCGGAGCATCTCAGCGACCATGGAACACGAAGCGCGCGGTAGCGCGCCAGCAGCGTCGCTGGGCCCTTCGGGCCTGGCCCCACGGCGCGGAGCCCCCCGCTTTCGTCGTCGTCGCCGATCGCCGTCCTGGCCATCTCGGACATCCTTGACCCCCCCTGCATCGCCGTGGGGGAAGCGGGTCCTGAAGGAAAAGGGTCCTGAGGTTTTGTTGTTGTTGTTGTTGTTGTTGCTGCAGTTTTCGAGCTCTCAGGGCCATCCACGGGCCGCGGGACTGTGAGAAAACGATTCAGGAGGAATAACTCGTCCTGGGGGAAGGCCCTGAGGTCCAGGATCCGTTTCCCTCAGGACCCGTCTCCTCCATGCTAACTGCATTTGGCCCCCACGCTTCTTCTTTCATTCGCCGCTGCTTCGTGCAACAGCCAGGGCATGCGTGCTGCTTGTTTGTGTGGAAAGCTCGGTGGAGGAGGATGAAAAAGGGAGGAAGAGGAGGAAAACGAGGATGTTGAGGTGAAAGTGGACGGCCCTGGGCTCTGCCCCCAGAGGGTTCCCAGAGAGGCCGGCGTCGTCTTCAGCGAGGCGTTCTTTGTGGCCTTCCCCCCCTTTCCTTCCCTCACGAGTCTTCTTTATTGTCGACCTTCGTCCCTCGCGTGCGGATCCCTCGCTCGCTCGCCCTTTGCGGAAACTTCAAGTATGGGGAGAGGCACTCTTTGGCAGGGACCTTGGGCAGTCGCTGGAGTGTTCAAGTCTTTGATTCGTCCAAGCCAGGGACGACGAGAGTGAGGAGTTGGAAGAAGGAGCGGGGAGGATGTGGGTGGGGTGGGGGAGGAGCAAGAGGAGGACTTGCAGTCGGAAGACGAAGGATCGGGGAGCTGGCACGAAGCCAGCAACAGGTACAATGTTGGAGGAGGGTCGTTTTCAAAACGGGTCTATCGCAGTGCCGCGCACAATCGCCTAACCAATATGACGGTTTCTTTTCGAAATGGGGCTCCTCCAGTTTGAGTCGTGCTTTTTCGGGGTTACGGGGGCGGGGTGCGGCTCGGTCGGGGCGTGGGGCTCTCGTCTTTGGGGCCGCGCGCGGGGGTCTTTTGCTCCGGTGTCGCCTTGGCGACGGCGGGATTGGTTTGGCCCGCCCGCGCGGCTTCGCCTTGCTCGCGCGTGCGGCGCGGGCCCGGCGTTCTGGGCGTGTCGCGTGGCCCCGCCGGCCCGTCCGGGGACGGTGCCCGGGCGGGTTGCCTTGGTTTGGGGTGTGGGGGGGCGTGCGGTGGGATGGGGGCGCCGGGGGTTGGGCGTGGGCGCCCGTCGTGCCCCAAGGGTGGGAGGGTGGGGGGGGTGTCGGGGGGCGGGGATGGGGGGGGGGACGGGAGGGAGGATGGAGGAGGAGGAGGAGGAGGAGGAGGAGGTGTAGGAGGAGGAGGGGGAGGAGGAGGAATGGGAGGGAGGAGGAGGAGGAGGAGGAGGGGGAGGAGGAGGAGGAGGGGGAGGGGGAGACGGGAGGAGGGAGGAGGAGGAGGAACAGGCGGATGAGGAAGAGGATGTGGATAAGGAGGGCGAGCAGCTCGGCCAGGGGCATCTTGGTTGCCTCCCGGAGTTTCTTCGATATCTTTCGAGAGTTTCTTGTCGTCCTTTTGGAGCGTCTTTGGGGCCTTTGGCGTCTTGGATGCCTCGGGCGAGCCTCTTAGGGCCTCTCATGGGGGCTTCTTGGGGCCTCCTGGGCGCCGCTTGGGGCGGGGGGCTCGGGTGTTCGGTTTGTGCTCCCCCTCTTGGGGCTGTCTTGGGGCCCTCTTCGGGCCCTCTTGCGGGCTTCTGTGGCCGTCTTGGGGCGGTCTTGGGGGCCTCTTGGGGCGTCTTGCGGCGTCGGGGGCTCGGGGGGTGGGGGGCCGTGGGGCCCTTGACAATGCGAAGGCAAGTCAATGATCTTGGCCTCTCGGGGCTCTTTTGGGAAGGCTCCTGGAGGCCTCGTGACGACGTCTTGGGCGCTTCTTCGGCCGACCGAAGGCCGTTTTTTGGGCGTCCTGGACCGATCGTTCAGCTATTGGGGGCGCTCTTTGGGCCGTCTCGGGGGCCTCTTTGTGGTCCCGGGGGCCGGCCCGGGGGGGGTCGGCGTCCTCGGGGGGGCCCTGCCGTGGTGCTTTTCGTCCGGGGACACCCCAAGGGTCAGCGCTGTCCAACCCCTGGTAATGCAAAAGGGGCGTGCACGAAATCCTTTCCAACCGAAAATGGGGTTGCTTTGACTGCGTAGGTGGTGCTGCCGCGCGCGGAAGGATCCGCTGGCCGCGCGTTGCTTTCCATTGATCACGTGGTAGTTGTCCGTCGTGCTTTCTCATGTCTGCGCTTGGCGTGACATGTCTGTTGTAGCCCCTGGCAGACAGCAGCTTACTTGCCGTGCAAATGCAAAGCGAGTGTTGCCCCGACACGTCTTCATTCCTGCACGAGCTCCAAATTGTTCCTGCACGAACACGAAATGAGGCACGACATATGGCACGAAATTAATTCTACTCTGCGCGAGCTCCAGAAATTCGCCACGAAATGCCGCACGAAACTGCCCACGCGAAATTTGTACGCGAATGTCTCGGGCGAGTCTTGATTTGTGAGGGCGCTTGCATGCGCGGCCGGGCGCTCGCAAACGAGTCCGGGGAATCAATTTGGGGGCCTGTTCGTGCTGCCATTCTGGGCGGCAATTCTGGGACCATCTCGTGCGGGCAATCTCGTTCGGACAAGTTCGCGCTGGCAATTTCGCGCCATGCGTCGTGTTCCTGGCCGCCCGTGCTTGTCGGCTGCCGCTGGCGAGCCGTTTTGTGTTTCCCACGACGACGTTGATAGGTCACAGCGCTGCTAACGCTGATCGTCACAGTGCCGACGGTTCGTGTGAATGTGGCAATGATGAGAAAGGGGGCGTGGTCCAACGCCCGCACCGTTGGGCGGGTTGCCAGGGATGTCCGTCCCGCCATGCCACAAACAGTGGATCACGCGACATTGCCTCGAGCGCCCAGGCTATTTCGTGGCCTATCGTGCCTCCGAGGGATCACCCTCTGTGACCCGGGGGCGGCCTCGCGCGCGCGAGCCCCCAGGCGTCCTCTGGGCCTCCTGTGCCAGAGATCTCGGCACGCTCCTGGCCCGCTGGCTGGGTGGAGGGGCTCCCTGGGCCGAGGGGGTGCGGGCTCACAGGGAAGATTTGTGATAGACCTTTCCCGAAGGGGGAGGGGGTGATTTGTTCTTCTTCTTCTTCTTCTTCTTCTTCTTATTCTTCTTCTTCTTATTCTTCTTATTCTTCTTCTTCTTCTTTTTCTTCTTATTCTTCTTTTTTTTCTTCTTCTTCTTCTTCTTCTTCGAGGGGGAACTCCCCGAGCCCATCCACGCTCCGAGCGCCAGGGGGGCCCAGGCAGATTTGCCGCCCGGGGGACGTCCGATTCCCCCTCCTCGGAGCTCCCCTCTCCCTGCGCCTCCCCTCCCCGCCCCCTTCGGACCACCCCTCCTCCGTTCGAGGCGTCCCTCCTGGCCCCTCTCTCTCTCGCCTTTCCCCTGATGCTCCCGATGCTGGTCCCCCCCCCCCCCCCCCCATCGAGGCGCCCGCCCTCCTCGTTCCTCCCGCGGCCGCTCTTCCTGCTCATCCTCCATCCCCGTCGAGGCCGTTTCCCCCCCACCTTCCCCTCCTTCCCCTCCCCCTGCTTCCCCCCGGAACCCCTCATGCCCCTCCCCTTTCCAGTCCAAGCGGCCCTTGTCCCCATTCCCTTCGAGGTCCGAGGATCTGCGTCGTTCCCGCCCCGTCCCCCTCCCTGGAGGCTCCGATGGTGGAGGTCGTGGGGCTGAGGCTCGTGAGGCTGCTGCTGGGGGAGCGGCTCCTGGGGCACTGCAAGGAGCGGCGGGCGGCCAAACGCCCTGCGCAGGGCGTCCTGGACGGTGCACACGGCGATGACGACGAGAACGAGCCACGACGCCGAACATGGAACGTACGACGTCGAAAACAAAGGCCGGCGACGATGCATGATTGCCACTATCACGGCGACGACGACGATTAATATTACGACTGCTACGACTACTACTACGGCTACTACAGCGACTACTGCTACGACTACTACTACTACTACTACTACTACTACTACTACTACTACTACTACTACTACTACTACTACTACTACTACTACTACTACTACTACTACTACTACTACTACTACTACTACTACTACTACTACTACTACTACTACTACTACTACTACTACTACTACTACTACTACTACTACTACTACTACTACTACTACTACTACTACTACTACTACTACTACTACTACTACTACTACTACTACTACTACTACTACTACTACTACTACCACTACTACTACTACTGCTTCTGCTACTAAGACTTTTCTACTACAGCTACCACTACTACTACTACTACTACTACTACTACTACTACTACTACTACTACTACTACTACTACTACTACTACTACTACTACTACTACTACTACTACTACTACTACTACTACTACTACTACTACTACTACTACTACTACTACTACTACTACTACTACTAATACTACTACTACTACTACTACCACTACAACTACTACCACTACTACTACTACTACAACTACTACTACCACTACTACTATTACTACTACTACTACTACTACTACTGCTATTTTTACGACTACGACTACTACTACTACGACTACGACTACTACTACTACTACTACCACCACTACGACTACTACTACTAATAATACTACTACTGTTACTGTTACTACTGCTACGAATACTACTACTTTTATTACTACTACTACTACTACTACCACTACTACTACTACTACTACTCCTCCTCCTACTACTACTACTACTACTACTACGACTACAACGACTACTACTACTACTACTGCTACTGCTACTTTTTACAACTTCTACTACTACTACTACCACTACTACTACTACTACTACTACTACTACTACTACTACTACTACTACTACTACTGTAACTGCTACTACCACTATTATTACTACTACTACCACTTCGACAACTAGTACTATTACAGTCACCCGTACTACTACCACTTCGGCTACTACTGCTACTACTACTACGACCGCCACTGCTACTGCTACTACGACGACTACTACTACGACTACTACTACTTCTAATACTATTATTTCCAGTACTACTAGTACCACTACTATGACTACGATTGCCACCACTACTACTACTACTACTACTACTACTACTACTTCTGCTTATACGACTACGACTACTACTAGGACTGCCACTACTACTACCACTACTACTACTAGTAGTACTACTACTACTACTACTACTGCTAGTACTACCACTACTATCGGTATTACGAAGAACACGACCACTATTACTATTACGACTATTTGTTGTTACTATTTTCTATTGGTTTATTCTTTTGATTACTTAGTCACTACTACCACTACTACTATTATGACTACTACCACTACTACTACTACTACTACTACTACTACTACGACTACTACTACTACGACCACCAACGACTTACTAGCATGAACTACAACTACGACTAGTGTTACGATGCTTTATACTGGCACTAGTACGATGTCGTGCTACGACTACTACTGCTGTATGTTTACGATTAGTACGACTGCTGCTAGTATGGTTACGAGTACTACTAGTATTATTACTATTGCGACTACGGCTATCAGTCCTCCTGCTTCTATTACCATTGTATTTACGATTTGTCAGCACTAACACGTTTACTGCTACTACTACCCGTCACATCTTCTATTATTAATATTACGAGCACGTCTATTATTTCCAGTACTACGATGGCTACCACCACTACTACCACTACTACTACTACTACTACTACTACTACTACTGCTACTACCACGAACACTCGTACCCGTGCTACTAATACGTTTAATACTACTACGACCACTACTACGACTACCACTCTGGCTACTACGACTGCCACTACTACTACCAATAATACTACTACTACTACTACGAATACTACTACGAATACCCCTTCTAGAACCACGAGTATTACTACTATCACAATTGCTGCCGCTACGACCAGTACTACCAGTACGACTACAACTACTACTGCTACGAATACTGCTACAGCATGTACTACTACTACTAGTGCTTCTACTCCTTCTGCTGCTACTACTACTACTTCTACGACTACTCGTATTATTATTATGACTCATGTTACTTCGAACCCTCTTTCTGCCACTGCCAAGTTTTCCATCGCGGCGGCGACGACTACTATTACTTGGACTACCAGTATTCTTATCAATAGCGATAACACTAGTAGTTACACTAGTACGACTACGACTACGACTACTATTACTGCCCACGACGATGCATGATCACCACGAAGGGGCAACGACGACGACCACTACTACTACTGCTAATACTAGTGCTACGCTTTCTGCTACGATTCCTACCATCACCACTACAACTACTATTATTATTTTCAGTATTACCACTACCACCACTACTACTGCTACTTCTACTGTTAGTACGCTTACTATGATTACTACTGATACTACAACTATTACTACTTCCACTTCTACTACTACTTCTTCTTCTACTACTACTACTACTACTACTACTAGAACTACTAGTACTAATTCTACTACTAGCGCCACTACTACTACTACGACCAGTGCTATCCGTATTACTACTACTGCCACTAGTAATACGGTTGCTGTATGTACTACGGGTACTAGCTCTGTTTATTTTTTAACTACGACGCCGAGTACTCTCACTATAACGCCGTTGCAAAAGTTCGCCACGTCTCATAAGAACTTGAAGATGGCATGAGTTTCGTGTCTTACTTCCGCGTGGGCGGGCGGGCAGAGTTTGGCCACTGTCCCGACCGCGCCGAGCTGGCCCCCCCTTCCCCCCCATATTCTTGGCGGAATGAGTCAAAAGCGGTCGGATCATAAACCAGGATTTCCAAAAGTGGGATTTCACTTCTTACTATAATCGTATAGGTTTACAGCGGAGAAGTTGAAATCCCGGCGTACAATCACACGGCTTTAGAAATCCCACGGGGCGGGATCTGCCTTTGTTTATGCAAGATGGATCGCCTCAATTGGCGACGAAACTTCTGCAACGCCGATGAGGGATCCACGACGGCGACGCATCAGCATTCACCTCATCCATCTCATCGCGCGCAACTTTGCACATCATCCGCCATGATCGTGCTTGCGTTCGACCCTCTAGTGCCACCGCCGCGGCCACAGACTCCGGCCCAGAGCCCGGGACCGCCGCACTTGCCGCCGCTTCGGGTCCGCGATGGCGTCCGCGCTGGACCAGGCGAAGCGCGCCCTCGTGGCCCTGCTGCGCACGCTCGCGGCGGCGTACGCATGCTCGGTGAAGGTCGCCAGGTACAGCGCGGACGCCGAGGTCCGCACCACGTGCCGTGTGGTGTCGCGGAAGGTCCACCCGGACCGCCCCACCAGCAGCGCTGCGGACAAGAAGCGGCTCAACGCGGCGCGCGACAAGCGGCAGGCGCTCTTCAAGGCAGCGCCAGGCCGCGGGCGGAAGCGCGGGGCGGGGGCCCCCGGCGCGGCCCCGCCGCGCGCCGCCGCGCCAGCAACCGGCTTGGCGACGGTGGACTTGGCGGGCGTTGTTTCTGGCAAGAAAGCTCCCAAGGGGTATTTACGAGATCCGTGGCCACGGCGTGTTCCTGACGTACCAGGGAGTCACGGGGGTCGAGCAGTGGGTCCGGCTGAACGAGTTCTACAAGGCCTCCTTGAAAAAGTTGAAGGTGAATTTCTGGTGCTCGACGCTGGAAGCCAAAAGGCGGCGTCCACGCCCGCGTCATGGCGCAGTTCAAGTCGGATCGCGACTGCATTGTGGAGGCGTTCCGGGTGGACACCTTATTAAAACTACCACTACTACGACAATCTCTGCGACTACTGCTGCTATTGCTACTACTACTACCACTATTACTACTACCATTACTACCACTACTACTACTACTATTACTACTACTACTACTACTACTACTACTACTACTACTACTACTACTACTACTACTACTACTACTATTACTACTACTACTACTACTACTACTACTACTACTACTACTACTACTACCATTACCACTATCACTACTACTACTACTACTACTACTACTACTACTACTACCACTACTACTACTACTACTACTACTACTATTATTACTACTACTACTACTACTACTACTACTACTACCACTACATCTGCTACCACGGGTACCACTACGACTACTATTGCTGTTATTCCTCTACTACAAGTATTGCTAGTGACACGACTACTAGTAGCTCGCATACTATTACGACGGCTAGTACTAGTTGTACCCTTACTACTCCTTCTATTACGACGTCGAGTACGAATAGATTTTTTTTGGTACCGCTACTATTACACACGGTTCTTATTTTTACGATTGCTCATACCGCAACTCTGACAGTATTGTTGTTCTAACTACTACCACAAATACGATTGCGACTACTATTACGGAGACCTCTACTACTACGCGCGAGTAGTATTATCGACGCGGCGACGACGGTTAATGAACCGACACGTGCTAATAAGGCGACTACTGCTACTACTGCTTGGAATGCAACAAGAACTACCACTAGCACTGGAATTGTTATCGTTATTGCCACTACTATTACTACTACTACTACTACTACTACTACTACTACTACTACTACTACTACTACGACTACTACTACGACTACTACTACGACACTTGCCACTACTGCAACAACTCCCGCTACTACCACTACCACATTTACTACCAGCACGATGACTCGCATTCCTACTACATGTAGTATTACTTATGCAAAGATTCCCAGCATCATTCGATCTATTACTACTACTACTGCTACTACTACTACTACTACGACTACTACTACTACTACTACTACTACTACTACTACTACTATTACGACTACTACTACTACTACTACTACTACTACTACTACTGCTACTGCTACTACCACCACTACTACTACTACTACTACTACTACTACTACTACGACTACTACCACTACTACTGCTACTACTTGCACCACTATCATTATCAATAGTACTACTTCTACCACTTCTACTACACTACTACTACTACTATTACAACTACTACTACTTCTTTTACTACTACTACTACTACTACTACTACTACGACTACTACTACTACTACGATTACTACTACTAGTACTACGAGTGTTACTATTATTACTACGACTACTACTACTACTACTACTACTACTAGTACTACAAGTACTACTAGTACAACTACTACTTCTACTACTACTACTACTACTACTACTACTACCACGACTACTACTACTACTACTACAACTACTACTAGAGCTTTTTCCACGACTGCTGCTACTACTGTTATTTCTCGTACGCATATTACCACGACCGCGCTACTATTATGATTCGCCCTACTGCCACGATTACGACGACGACCAGTACTACTATTAGTAGTATTACTACTACCATTACCACTACTACTACTACTACTACTACTACTACTACTACTACTACTACTACTACTACTGCTACTACTACTACTACTACTACTACTACTACTACTACTACTACTACTACTACTACTACTACTAACTACTACCACTACTACTACTACTACTACTACTACTACTACTACTACTATACTACTACTACTACTACTACTACTACTACTAGTAGTACTACTACTACTACTACTACTACTACTACTACCATCACTACTACTACTACTACTACTACTACTACTACTACTACTACTACTACTACCATCACTACTACTACTTCTACTACTACTACTGCTGCTACTGCTACTACTACTACTATTACTCCTCGCACTACGTCTAAACCCGCGACCTCGACTCGCACTACGACCTGATTCTATGACAGCTGTTTTTTCCGTCGGCACCATTACCACAACCACCGCTAGACTACTACGCGTGCCGGGATTGATCAGCACGAATGCGACTACTAGTACTATAGTCAGTACTGCTGCTGCTACTGATGCAGATACTACTGTCACTTCTGAGTGTTTCGTGTCGCTGCTTTTCACCCCTACCACTGATCATCCCACCTTCGTACAACGAAAGCTATTGCACTTGCTGCGCCTGTTGATGTGACTGCTAGAAATACCACTACCCCTCGTCGCAACTATGACAGCTATCATGAAAACTACCGCTAGCGCAGTACCTGGTCTGTCTCATCGGATTTCGAGAGGGGCTGCGATTAGGATGTCCGGGGGATTCTTGAATGATCTTCCCGGACACCTAAGGATCCCCCAAAGGGCCCCCAAGGATTCCGCAATAATTCTCGCGGATCCAAGAAGATAGCCTGAGGAGGTTGGTCTCTGATCGATTTCTTACAAGGGGGCCGAGTGATTCGATGCATATTCAGGAATCCTCACGGATTCTTGGAAGAATCCCTGAGGATTCCGAAGGATCCTGTAAGGATTCGTCTGGATACCTTGGGATTCCGAGCGATCCCTAAATATGCAAAGGCAATCCAAACGATTCCCAACATATCCCTGATATATTCTGAAGGAGTCTATGGTTCCCAAGGGCCCCGAAGGATTCCTAGGAACCCCAAGATTCCCGACGGGGCCCGAAGGATCGCAGGGCACAGCGTGTCAGCGTGGCCGCCGCCTTGACGCTCCTGACCGTAAGTCGTTGGGCGGCCTGCAGCCGCGGGGAATTCCAGGGACTTTTGGAACTGGAGGGACCCACGGACCGTTGGGGTCCACATTTTTTTCCGGACGGTCCGAACCAACATTCCTCAGCGGAGGAAGAGGTATTGATATTGTTGCCCTTCCCTCGTTGCCTCCTTTTTTGGGGGCCTCCTGGGAAGCCCTTGTCGCCACGGTTGGTTTCGCCCAGAAGCTGTAGTCAGAGCGCACCCCCGGGGTGGTCTAGCTAGTAGCGGCATCTGTATATGTGAGTTTCCTTAGCACCGGATATGTTAACAGCAGTTTGGGTCCGTGCGCCGCGCAGTGCAGCACAGTCTTTTTGCACGTCTTGCGGGGCCCGCGTTTGCTGTTGATGGTGTGCAGAAGCGGGCACTTTGCACAGGCTTCTGGGCATGGCTTTGGTTGTCTGGTCTCCCACAGAGTTCCGAGTCTCATTGACACGCTCTACTGCACCAGCGGGGTCCAGTGAAATGGAGGATTCGTGGGACGAAGCGGAGGAGGCTCGGTAGGGGGTTCATTTGGATGAGGACGGAGAGGAAGAGGAATATCAGAACGACGAAGAGGGAGGAGGGAGGAGAAGAAGGAGGAGGAGGACGAGGAGAAGGAGGAGAAAGGGGAGGAGGGGGAAGAGAAGGAGGAGGATCAGGATGAGCAGCAGCATGGGTGCCTGGGGCAGGACCAGGAGGAGAAAGACCACGATAAAGAGGTTGTGGAGGAGGCGGGCCATGAAAAAATCTAGGAGAAGGAGGAAGAGGATATCGATACAAAGGAGAGAAACGATGGGGAGGAGGCGCAGCAAAAGGAGGAGTATTTGGGTGTGGAGCAGCAGCAGCAGCAGCAGCAGCAGCAGCAGCAGCAGCAGCAGCAGCAGCAGCAGCAGCAGCAGCAGCAACAGCAGCAGCAGCAGCAGCAGCAGCAGGAAGGAACGGGAGGCTCTGTGCGAGCCCCGGGGGCCCTTGCCGGCCACGAGGACCCCGTGGTGCACGAGCCGAAGGCGACGGGACAGCCTAAGCCGCAAGAGCACACGTCCTCAATGTACGATCGCGGCTTGGAGCACATCAAGAAGAAGGATCTGGGCGGACTTAAAGGAGGGGGGGCGAGAAGCGACGTGCTCGAACGCAGTTGGAAAACGATCAGGGCAGACTCAAAAGAGGGGGGTCGAGGAGCGGCGTGCTCGAACGCAGCTGGCTCTCTTTGGCTCCCCAGAGACCTCTGCTGACCGCTGGCTGGGCAAGGGCTCGGTGCGCACCTGTGGCATGCCCTTGTGGATAGCAGTTGCCGTGCAGACGAGGGAAGAGAGGAGGAGGAGGAGGAGGAGGAGGAGGAGGAGGAGGAGGAGGAGGAGGAGGAGGAGGGGGAGGAGGGGGAGGAGAGGGAGGAGGGGGAGGAGGGGGGAGGGGGAGGAGGCGGAGGATCAGGATAGGGCATTATGAGCCCCGACCCCTCGCCTCGGGCGATTCGGGGCCTTGGGGCCTCGGGCCCTCGGCACCTCGGGCGCCTCGGCGCCTCGGGCGCCTCGGCGCCTCGAGGCCCGAGGCGAGAGGTCGGCGCACTTCCTCGGATAAGGATACGGGTAAGGAGGAAGAAGAAGAGGAGGGGAGGCGGAGGAGGAGGAGAGGGGGGAAGGAGGAGGAGGAAAAGGAGGAGGAGGAGGAGAAGGAGGAGGAGGATAAGGATAATGATATGATAAGGATAAGGACGTGGGGGGTCTTTGTCCCTAACTGCTTGAAAGCGAGCTGGACCCCAGGTGTTAATGTGGATGCAGGCCCGCACCGTTTGGCTTGGGAGCTGCCCGGGGCGAGCCTCTCAGGCAGCCCCGCTTGGCGGGAGACCCCGGGGATGAGGCAGCTGCCACCCTGTGGCCTCGTGCGTGCGGCCCCCCGCTGAGGACCTCGCAGCTCCTGACCCATCCTCTCCCCCACACTGCCCCCCACCATTCCCCAACTCCCCACGAGATTGAGACCGCAGGCTGCAATATGGATACGACCGGCCCCTGAGATGTTGGTGGCGCGCCGCACTGGCGGCGCCCACCCACTAGGGGCCCTCTGTCTCTACTTTTGAGAGGCTGCTACTGAATTATGCTGCTGGCTAACTGACTGCACGCTGCAACTCTGGGCTGTGATGCGACCTGTCTGGCCGCTAAACGGCAGCATGATTAGCCAGCGAACCCGCCCCCCACGAGCCTTTAACAGCCATGCAAAAGAGGCCGTTGGCGCAAGTTCGTGGGGGGGCTGGCTAGCTGGGGTCTCAGACACGGCACCTATTGCTGAGCTCCTCGCGGCAATCGGACCGGGTCGAACCCCGTTGCCGTTGCCACCTGAGCATTCCTCCCGCCACCCGAGCATCGCTGGTGATGAGCTCGGACACTTTGGGCGGGGTGACGCTTGGTACACGTACAGCTGCGACGGCGACGGTTGGTTCGTCGGGGGCTGGATCTCCTGCCGTTGCTGCGCCACGTCGTAGGCCCACCCTTGTACGCTCGATGTCCAGCGAGTGTAGACACCATCCAGCTCGTCCGCCCGGCGCCTGGCCCAGTCTAACGCCCACGGGAAGGATCCTAACACATGGCGCCGGTGGTCGTCCAGCAGCGCCGTCAACATCTTGGCTTGGTCGATCGCCTTGCCGTTGCTGGCGAGCTGGGCGCGCAAAACCTGCATCGTTTGGGCCCTCTCCATGTCCTACTGGTGGTCGAAGTTCCTGGACTCCTTCATGTGCGCGAGCGACGTGTGGATCCTCCTTTTCTGACTTTCTGGCGTTAGAGCCCGTACATCACCTCGCTCACTTTCTGGTGGAAGCCGTTGTACACCTTGGCGGTCGACCGTACCGTGTGGTGCGCAATTTGTACGCCATGGTACTTGGTAGTCCGTGGTGGTTGCTTTTGCCTTTGATTTTCCTGGTGAGGCAGTAAGGCGGACAGTAGTGGGATCAGAACCGTAAGACGGCGTAGTAGGCATGTGGGTATTGACCTGTGCAGCCATATGTACGTGTTTGCGTTTTACAGCCTGTGTTGTGTACCTGCGCGCAGTCGTGCGTAGCAGTTTGCGTATCTGTAGCAGCCTGGCATGCAATACCTGCTGGGTCGGTGGGGTGGCGTATCGGGTGATCGCCAGAAGAGAGGTTACTGACGGGCCTGTTTTCCACCACCACCATAAGTTGGAAGGGGGCAGGAGGTGGAGGAGGAGGAGGAGGAGGAGGAGGAGGAAGATGACCCCTCCCCCTCCAACTTATGCTGGTGGTGGTGGTGTAGAACAGGCCCATCAGATACGACATTTGCTGGATGCCGCCTGTCTCGGCCTTCGCGAAGCTCCATCCATACGTCGGGGTGCAAGCAAAACTATTTAAAAACGTAAAAAACCCTCGGCGGTCCGCCCCGATGTCTCTCGCATCGGCGCCGCTGGAGCCCCCGTGGCTGCGCCTCCGGAGGCCGCCCCGGGCACGTCCCGCGCGCAAGGGAGGGTCGCCATAGACCGGAGGGTTCCAAAGGGGGCTTTGGGGCAGGGGGTTTTCCAGAGAGCCCTCCATGGGCCTCGGAACCTAGTCAAAACAGGGGGTGCGAAGCCCCTGGGGGACCCCTCTGGAAAACCCCCTCCCCAGAATTCCCCTCTGGAACCCTCCGGGCAGCAGGTCTGGGGGGGAAGTGGTCCTGAGGGAAACAGGTCCTGAGGGAAGCGGGTTCTACCGTCTTTGGTAGCTCGGAGCCCTCCGCGGGCCCCACGGACTGTCCGGGAAGGCTTCGGGGTGAGCTGTTCATGGTCCCTGGAGGAGCCGTTTCCGTTCAGGACCCGTTTCCTTCATGCCAACATGGAGGAGGGATGCCCAGCGCCGGTCCAAGAATACCGCGAGGACCTCCAACGTATATGTTTATATCAGTGTTGCTACTTTCTTTACGACCCCCCTGCCGCCCGCTCCGAGAGGAAGAGAAGCTCAAGGATAAGACGGATCAACTTGTGAGGGAGGCCGACGAGCGCCTTCAGGCGTCGAAGGTCTTCGGGGGGGCCCTTCTCCCTCTTCTCCTTCTGCGCTCCCCCCTCCTCGCAGCGGGCCTGTTGTGTTAGCGAGCCAAGGCATGTTGAGTCTTCAGTCTTCGGTCGGCCTTGCGGACCCCAGCGCGGCTCGGAGCAGCATCGTTGCTTGGCTCAGGGTCCCCAGAGTAATCCCCCCCCGCCTCATGCCTGCGCCCCCTCCCCGCCTGCTTCGCACTCCTCTGCTGCTCCTGCTTGTCGTCCTCCGCCCCTCCCCCCCCCGCTAGCATCGCCGCTGTACCCTTGCGGATAGGAGCCACATAGCATATAGTCCGTCTGTTTTTGGACCTGTTGAGCCAGGACATCACGGTGTGAGATTGTACTGGCAGCGTCTGCGCGGTCCGCACTGGGATTTAATGTTTTGGCCTTGGCCAGCTCTTGTGAGCAGACACTTTCTGCAGCGTGAACGCGTGAGCGCCTCGACGACCGCGTCGGGGGAGTGGGCCTTCTGCACACTCCAGAACAGCAGCTGGGCCAGCTTCGGGCAGCTCCTCACGTTATGCCCAGACTTCCCACAGTGCTGGCACACTCTCAGGTGAGCCTTCGCCATCACTGCAAGCGGGGCCTCTTGGCAGAAGCCACCGGCTCGGGCTCGGGCTCTGGCTCCTCAAGGGGTCCCCGTTGGTGGGCTTGTTTTTCACCGCAACCACCATAAGTAGGAGGGGGAGCGGGTCCTCCTCCTCTTCTTCCTCCTCGTCCACCTCCTTCCCCCTCCAACTTATGATTGTGGTGGTGGAACATAGGCCCATGACCTGTGGCTCCTCGTCGCTGTCGAGCTCCGTGTCCTGGACGAAGCTGTCCTCCTCGCTGTCCCCGTCCTCCCACAAGCCGTGCCTCCTCGGGCCGAGGCCGTTGTTGTCCTCCACATCGGAGGGCCAGTCCGTCTCTGGGTCCTCCCGGAGCGAGAGTTCCCAGCCGTGGTCCGTGTCGAACCAGCAGGTGAGGCAGGTAACCACGGTAGAGCTGCGCAGCAGCCCAGGGAAGGAGTGCTAACCACAGGGTGTCTTGCGGTAGTCGCACACTTGCATGCCGAAATGGCACGCTCGTGGCCTCTGTTGTTTGGACCAAAACGGCCATGTGCAGAGGGGAGGGAGGGAGGGCGGCCTTCAACCACGAACGCTCTTGAAGGGAGACAATACAGACAAAAACAACAACAGTGCTTTTTAGTAGTTTGTTCCGCAACTATCCACTCACGTCCAAGAGCATCTTCCAAGTGGCACCGCGGAAGACCCCAAATCAGTAAGGCGAGACTTGCACGCTGCCCGACTGTAGTGTGGTTTTGCATGCAACGTCGCCCACGTCAGTAGAAGGCGAGGCAATGCGGCAACTCTGTAAACAAATAGGACAAACGCTACATGGAACCAGAACAGCCCAAACAGTGCTACGTATCCCTGACAGCACGGCGCAACTGTAGCGAAGATACCCGGAGCACATTCAACGACCACCAACACCAACAAGCACACGACAAGTTGCATTGGCAGACGTCATCCCTCACAGACGACCAGGTGCAAGTGCACCCGCTAGGATATATTTAGATAGATATATACATGTGTATATTGCACCACATCTAAGCCCTCACAATCATTGCACAACATAGAGGGCACAGCGCAGGTGCACCACATTGAAGGTACCGCGTATATTGCACCACATGTATTGCGCCATACATATGTCCCAACACAGATCGCTAAAGCCACACTGCCTGGGGCCCATGCTGGCTAACCTTTCCTGTTATCATCAACTTTTCCGTCCCCCCCCCCCTCTCTCGCTGACATCTCTTCCTCGCCCTCCTCTTTCTCCTTAGTTGTGCGTTCAACGGGCTTTAGCTGTACAACTGCGGCGCCAAGGGGAAGCATAACGACGTAAGCATGTGACGGCACGACAAGTACAGGCACGCAGCACGTGGCCGTGAGAAGACAGACAGTGAAAATGCGAACAGAAACGTAGCCCATTCTGATGTAGTGTAGGCGTACCGTACGGCCTGGACTAGTTGAGGAATGAGGAGGGCCATAATGCAAGTCAAGTAATGATCAAGATAGGATGGCGCCGACAGAGAGATGTGAAATACGTACGTTGCAGACAATGGTGAGCAGGCGGCAGTTGTGTAGTGCTTGGGCCATGGTGAAGCGGGTAGGCTGAAATTCAGGTTGAGGATGTCCGCTGACGGTCAGTGGCGTCAACTATGTGGAGATCCTCCTTCCTTTTCCCCACCACATCCTTGGAGCTACACCGGCCACCAGAGAAGCATGTGAAGTGAGGGCGGAGGTCTGAGTGGAATGAGGCTGGTTGGTAGCGAGTGTGGTCGGCTAGGGCTGTAGCTGGGAGAGCATAGTGCGAAATCATGCGCTGGAGGCGGTAAGGGATGTACCGTAGAAGAGGCTGGGTCCATGTAGCAAGCTCAACCCGAAGGGAGCACCACTGGTAGCCTTGCGTCAGGCAGTTACGAATGGCACATCAAGGTGACTGGGTGCACTGGCTGAGGCACTGCCTGAGCGGAAGGGGGCGTGCCCCGCTTGCAGACGGAGTGCAAGTGCGTTGAGATGGCACTGCAGAGTGCGGCGACGCGTGGGCCGCAGTCGTGCCCCTCCTCCTCCTCGCCCTCCTCCTCCGCCTCGGAGGGGCGCCCCCGGGGGAACCGAAGGCGCGGCCGGGCGCCTCCCAGTCCGAGAAGCTCCTCGCGGCCAGGAACGCGCTCCGCCCGCAGACCGCCGACAAGCCGGCGGGCCATGGGCGACCCCTTTCCGAGTGCGGCTCGTAGGGGGCCGCATGCGGACCCTGCCCCTACCCCCCACGATTTCTGAGGGGGAGGGTGGGGTTCACTTCGCTCGAGAGCTCCCGAACGAAGTGAACCCACCCCACCCCTCCCCCATCGCGTGTGGCCCCCTAGCTCGGTCATCCCGCTCCCTCCGCCCCTCCAGATCGTGGGGAGGGGCGCGTCATTCCGGGGAGGAAGAGGTGCAGTCGGACCAAGGCGTAAGATCGAGGCCGGTTCGGGGAGGGTACCTTGGTGTTCTTCGGGTGTGTTGGATGCTCTCGTGCATCCTGGGGAGGATGCCCTTGGATGTTCTGTGTGGTTTGGCAACACGAGGGTCTCATGGTCTTGAGGGATACCTTGGTGTCCAAGATCCCCCTGTAGGGGGACATGCCCGACCTAAGGGTTGGGCCCCTGGGCCGCGCGCGAGATGGGGCGCTGTTCCGCGGATGTTCTGCGCTCGCGGTCTGGACTCCAGGGCTTTCTCCGAAGGGCTTAGGCGACCCGTCCTCCTCCTCCTCCTCCTCCTCCTCCTCCTCCTCCTCCTCCTCCTCGGGTCGCCTACGGCCACGGGGGAAGCCGTGCAGGCGCGGATACGGATATGTGCGCCGCTCATGCATGGTGGAAGCGCTCCGCTGTCCACCCGTGGAGCTGTTTCGCAGGCGGTGTATCGACCCCAATCCTTGAGTTCCTACCGGTAGCATTGGCGGCTCCGAGGAGGGGGAAAACTCAGGGATACACCCCTGGGGGGCTATTCGGACGCACACCTGTCGCAGATGGGCGCCCCCCCCTTCGCACGTCCCCGAGTTCGGCCTGACGTGTTTGGTCCACTCGAAATCCCCACAAAGTCGGGGATCGGGGCCGCCATGCCCCACATTGTTGTTGGGCATTTCGCGCTTTAGGGTCAGAGGGACGATGCCAGCCGCTACTCGGCCGCTTTGGGCATACCGTTTCTCGGTCTTCCTCTCTCTTTTTGTTGCTTCTCTCTATCTCTCTTTTGCTCCGCCACGTCATCCTAGTTTGGACTGTTCTAGCATGGTGGAGTCGACTCTCCATCAGTTGGGAAGCTGCCAATTTTCATCATTGGGACTTCATGCGAAAATGCTTGCCGCTCATGAATGTTGGAAGTGATTCGCCGTCCACCCGTGGAGTTGTTGGACACTTCACGCTCCAGGGTCGGAGGGACGGTGTATGCTCGCCCTCGGGCAGCTCACCCAGGCCACCCCGCTGGCACGTGTTCCCAGTCATTCGGTGCGATCGAAACGTATACTGAAAGAAGGGGCACGAAGGCCGACAGCATTTCTTGCCATTCTGAACCGGGCTCGCTGTCGGTGACGCCGCGGACGTTGTCAATTCGAGACAAAAGGCCGCCTGCCCAACAGCAGCCGACGCTGGTTGTAGACAGCATTTGCTGTCGGGCAGCGTAGCTATTTTTGGGGAAACCCATTTTCTGGCGTCCAAAGTCATGGCGGGAGAACGTGCCAGCGGGGCAGTTCTTCCGTTCTTCGAGGGAACGAGGCTATGGATTAAGGCGCGTGGATTGGCGCGCTTTGGCTTAAGATCAGTTATTCGAGGTTTTCGGACGCTTTCGTTGGTTCTCGGCGGCTTTCCAGCCTCGGGACGCCTTCAATCGGTTGCGCCTCGCCGAGAGCCCTCTGGGGGTGCCCGGATCGTCCCGAACGGCCGCTGGAGGCCCGAATGATGGCCCGTTGAAGCCCCTCGGATCAGGGACAATAAGCGCGTGGACTGGCGACGGGCCCCGTCCCCATGCGGAAGCAACGCGTTCCGTCGCCAAGGGAGACGGCGTTGGCCTCATGTTCCCCGATGCGTGGATGTGGCGCCCACGCGCCAGATCTACGGATCCCTGCTCCGTAGCCGCTGGTGGTCTTTCGCCCTCCTCAGCAGATTCTATTCGCCGAACGGCACCCCCGACAGGTGGTATGGGGCAGAGGAGGAGGAGGAGGAGGAGGAGGAGGAGGAGGAGGAGGAGGAGGAGGAGGAGGAACGAGGAGGAACGAGGAGGAGCGAGGAGGAGCGAGGAGGAGCGAGGAGGAACGAGGAGGAGCGAGCGAGGAGAGAGGAGGAGGAGGAGGAGGAGGAGGAGGAGGAGGAGGAGGAGGAACGAGGAGAAGGAGCGAGGAGAAGGAGGAAAAGGAGGAGGGAGGAGGAGGAGGAGGAGGAGGAGGAGGAGGAGGAGGAGGATACGAAGCAAGACAAACGCGACGGATCAAGCAAACCAACGGTTTGTCCAACGTAAAAGAAGGAAGAGGAGGAGAAGTAAGGAAGAGGAGGAGGGTTGAGGGGCGGAGGGGGGGGCGGAGGAGGTGGAGGAGCGAGGCGGCTTTCGCCTGCCGCCCCCCCGCCCTGGTTTTGCCGACGCCTCTACCGCGGTCAGCGGGCCACGTCAGCGGAAGGCCCCTCCCGCACACTCGTTTTCTCTTTGAGTATGCCACATCAAACGGTTTGGGGGGTGCGTGATTTCAAGATCGGCATCTTTGTTCCTCGTTGGGCGCCGCTTCTTTTGCGCCCTCATGTCTTGGATGGACCCGTGGCCCACCTGAACGTGTTTTTTTCCGTATCCAGCACGTTTCAATTTCGTTTGGGGTATCAAAATGCCGCCTGTCTGGCGTGCACATCCCAAGGTGGTTTTTGAGGACCTTCTGTCCGAGCCAAGGGCAGAAAAGTAGGAGTCGGGAAAGTAACGCCCCCTGCTTTTTTGAACTGCTAGGTTCCCCTCCGATCTCCCTCTTCGTATCGCCTCAAGCGTTTTGCTGCGCGAGGGGGCTTTTTGGGAATAGGTCCCCCCGCCCGCACGGCACTCGCGCGCACTGGGTGCGGGCGGACACCAGTGTGCCCGCTACGCGCTCGCGCGGCTTAAGGGGCGCCTCTCAGGCGGCGAAAATTGAATGTTAACCATTTTTGGGTTTTGCTGGGTCGAAGTGGCAATGCGAGGGCCAAGAGCAGAGATGCTCCCAGGCCCCCATCGACGCATGGCAAGCGTCGGCAGGCGTATTTCGTGTGCCGGCCTTGTCCTGGTTCTTGGGTTCACTACAATCGTGCAGGAATTCCAGCATGAGAGTCATGCCGTACTTGCAGAATGATGTGGCCCAACCAAGCTGCCAGGAAGGAAGTCTCTTTCGCCATCGAGGACTGGGACTCCACCAGCGTGGACACCTCCCTCCTCGAGGAGATGCTCCCGAAGTACAAGGAGGCTGTGGAGTCTACGCAGGAGGACACCATCAAGGCCATGGAGCTGGTTTGTCCAGAGCTGGCCGAGGCGGCGCAGCCTCCGCCGCCCAAGGCTCCCGAGACCTTCCTGGAGCAGCACGCTGCTACGCTCCGTCGCCTCCACACCTACCAGGAGAAGCTCAATAATCAGATGGTGGCCAACGCTAAGCATGGCAAAGAGTTGCTGGAGAAGCTGGCGGCGAACGTTCGAGCACGCGCCGAGGCCCAGGCGGAGGTCAACCGTCTCACGAGCCCCCCCACGGCGACGCAAGGGGCTGCGAGCGGCAGTGCCTCGCCAGATGACGGCAAGCCCGCAGGCGACAGCGTTTTCGGGCTCCCAGGGCTCAGCGCCGAGGACGTGCAGTTCCTCGCTCCAGAGCAGAAGCAGGCCTACGAGGAGGCGCTGGCCCACGCGCAGCAGGCCCAGCATGCACGCGGCGGACATCGGCCAGAGGGCGCATAACGCAGCCAGCGCGCTCAGGGAGCTCCGCGAAAAGGCCACCACGGCCAAGCGGCGCAAGGCGGACATCGACGCAGGGGTCGCAGCTGGAGCACCTGATCAACCACCAGCAGCTGCAGCCGATGGAGGGGGAGAAGCATCGCCAGCTGGAGGTGCTTTCACTTCAGCGATCCGAAGAACGACGACGCGCGCGTCAAGGTCAGGGCTGCGGCAGCGGACTCTGCCAAGGCCACTGCAGCTCCAGCGCCAGCTTCAGCGCTCGCGCCAGCGGCAGCAGCATCTGCGGCGGGGAAACCTCCGAAGTCGACGGCGGCGGCAGCAGCGCGGCCGAAGACGCCAGGAGGGTAGCCCAGCAATCATGTCAACGGCTGCCGCAGGGCCATGCCACTTGGCCAGCGCAGCCATGTTTCCATCTTCTTCGGGAATGCGACGAGCTACGGCCCCAAGGTGAAGAAGTGCATCGAGTCGGCGCCCTACGGCCTCATGGGATTGGCAGAGCATTCCTTGCCGCAAGTGAAGTGCCAGAGGGAGGACAGGCGCTCGCGCAATTTTGGTTGGCGGTCTGAAGGGGCACGGGCTGCTGCGACGGCGACGGGGCGCGCGGACAAGGGCGCGCGCGGGGGAACGCGCTGGCTGAGACGAGCCACCTACGCCGCCCGCGCCCACCTGGAGAGCTTCGAGGGCAAAAGCGTCTACCACGACGCGCTCCGCGACATCTCAGTAGTGCTATGTCGCTTCCACGGCGCCACTTTCGCTTTCAGTGTGCGCTACCTGGATTGTTCCATCGGTTTGGTTGGCGCTAACTCCAAGGAGATGAATATGGTTCTCCGCGTCGTCAAGATGCCCGGTGTACCTCTGGCTTCTCGTCGGAGACTTCTCCGCCACCCCGTAGGGGATGATGAAGTCGGGGCGGTTGCGGGCCCTGGGCGGCGCCGTCGCTGCGCCCGCAGGCGTCGAGGTCTCCTGCGCGTCGGGCAAGGACCGCGTGATAAACTGTTCGATTGTGCCCGATAGCTTCCGCTCAGACCTGGGCCGTGTCGCCCCAGTCCAGCGTCTACCATGGGGGGCCGCGCGTCGGCCTGGACATCCGATTGTCTTCTCGACCAGCGTCGGTCTTCCTGCGCGCGCCGCGGCTTCCAGTTGCGCTCGAAGCACCCCGAGGGGAAGTTCGAATCGCCAAGGGGGTCAAGCGCAGCCAGCGCGACCGCCGGCGGTGCCAGAAGATGCAGGATGCGAGAGGGGAGCAGGACATCCTCCAGCAGGGCGACATTCTCAACAATGAGGACGGGCACTTGCTGGACGACCACTACGCGCAGCTTCGACCGCGGCGGTGCGACAACAGCGACTGGCTCGACTTCGCGACGGAGGCGCAGCACATCGTCGACAAGACTGGCGTTGAAGGCCAGGGCGCGGTCGCAGAGAGTCTCGCCTACCAGCGGGGCCCGCGCATGAGTTACCCGATGGCGCAGTAGTGCGCCGTGCGGTCTGCGGCCGCGGAGGAGCAGCTGGCGGCGCCATGCGGAGCCGAGCCTCGACCTGCAGCGCGCCGAGGGCTTCCTGCGCGCTATCAGCGGCAGAAGGCTAAGCGCCAGGACGCCGCCTCCATATTCGGCCACTCCGCGGCCAACGCCCCGCGCGGCCAGAGGGCCAGCCTACGCGCCGGAGTGCAGGAGCAGCTGATCGCACTCGGACAATTCAGACATTCTTCGTTATCAAAGACTGGTTCGGCATGCGATATCCATCATCCCCTCGGAGCTTCAGCCCCCGCGCGACAGGGGCGGGCCAGTTCCATCAGTGCATGGGGGGGGGGATCTTAACTGTCCGTGGCATGTTGTCGCGATGCTGGCAAGGTAGTCCCAACGGGCATCCGAGTTCAGCGCGGGGCCGAATTCACCTCTGGCAGAACTTCGCGATACGAGTGCAAGCCTGCGCTCAGCGAAATGCCAGCTTGGCATGGCAGCATATTCACAATGAGATTGGCAAGTTGGCAATCGAGAACACCAAGGGCTCCATGAAGGGCGCCCACCGCTACCTCGAGAAGCTTGAGCAGCGGGCGCTGAAGGAGACCTGCAGGGGCGCTGAGGGCCCGAGGTGCGTGGCGCAGTGCAGGGGGCCACTGAGACCACGCTGTCACAACGGTGGACCTCGCTGTCACATCGGTTGCCAGTGGCCCGCGCTGCCCTCGGTGATCTTCGTCGCCGCGCTCACCAGTTGCTGGCGCAGCGGCCATGCCGCGACCGCGACCGCCTGGTCAACGCCCTGAGATCGTTACCCATGGCCACGGGCAAGGGCTCCGACCAGTGGGAGCCGACCCGCGTCCTGGCGCTGTCCGACCAGGGGCAGGAGGCTTTCGCCACCCTCTTGGACATGATCGAGCGGAGCTTGATCTGGCCGCGCCAGCTCCTGCACAACTGGGGTTCCTGCCGAAGAATGCCAAGCAGGAGGCGGGAACGAGCGCGACATCGGCCTGCTTCCCGCGCCTGTTCGCATCTGCGGCTTGCATGACCAAGGCCGCGATGAAGGAGTGGCGCGATGAGAAGGCAACTCGCTGGGGCGCCGCGGTCAAGGGCAGCAGCGCGCTGCAGGCGGCCTTACTTGGTGCTGGACGGGTCCAGGGCGCGCGCGGGCACCAACGAGCACGGCAACTTCCTGGTGGACGTCGGGAAGTTCTACGACTCTATGGATCTGGAGCCGATGGTCCGCCAGGCCATAGACCTCGACTTGCCCTCGGTCGAGCTCTACTTGTGCTGCCTCACCTACCTGGCGCCCAGGGTGGTCAAGGCGAACGGTGCTTTCGTCGAGGTCATCATTCCGAATTGCTCCATCTTGCCACGGCGCGGGAAGGCAACGCACTGCGAGCGACTTCTTATATCGGCCTCTGGAACGGGCTCATGAGAAAGCCCCCGCGGCACGCATTCGCCAGCATGTTGAGCATGTGCACGCGCGAGTCGAGGGCGGACAGTTGGTGTTTGAGCAGACAAAGCACGTAACGGGCGCTCTGGTGCAAGGCATGCTGGACATGGGGCTGCGCGTCTCGCCGGAGCCACTGTTGATGATTACTAACGCCAAGCGCGAATCTATAGTTCATCAGCACGTCCTCACCAACGCGGGCGCCCATATCGAGAGAACTCAGGGGGCCGAGGATCTCGGTGTCGATTGTTCCATGGGCATGCTGGGGGCCAGCAAGACCGCTAAGAATCGCACGACGGTGGCGCTAGGGCGAGTAGTCCGTTCTACCTTGTCTCGCCGAATTGGCAGACGGGGCAAGCGGGCCAAGGCATTATGCTGTGCAAACACCAACCGTCAAGTGAAGTTCTGCTACGCCGATCCAATCTTGGGCATCTCGCCTTCGGAAATGGCGCGCCGACGGGCGCAGGAAGCAGATCTCGCTGGCCGCGCAGTTGGAGGGCGACGCACGGCGCCCATCATGCAACTGCACTACCAGGACGACGACCCTAAGATGAGTACGGTCATGAACCAGTCGAAGCGTTTGTTCCATTTCTGGTGGGCACACCCTGAGTTACACGAGCGGGCTCGCAAAGGATGGCGAGCAGTCCTCAGAATATGGATCCACTTGAGAGCGAGACCTAGACGGCGATGGGCGACTGGACCAAAGGGGGGCATTGATCCTTACGCTGCGCGATCTGGGGCGGGCACCACGGATTCCAGCCGCGTGGATTGATGGCATTGGTGATGAATGGCAACGCACAGGCGACAGAACAGATAGGCTCACGGAAATACTAAACGCATTGCGGGCCTCTGTTCGTTGAGGGTTGTGGCGACAAGCTGGAGAGCATCCTTCCGGCGCGGGCCTCGGCGACGGTGGCGACATCCACGCGTTGAGAACCAACCTTCGACGGCTCCGACGACATGGGCGGCTGCCCCAGGCTTGAGCTCTGGAGACGAACGCCCTGGCCTGCATATGGACGACGGCTCGCGCCAAGTCCGCTGGATATCAGGCCGACGACGAGTGCCCCCGCTGCGAGATGGAAAAAGGGCACGGTTGCCCAACGCCTGCGCGCGCGCACCCAGAATGCTGCGATAAAGCATGAGTGGGTGAGCCGCGCTGACAGGCTTTGTGAGGAAGCGCAAAAAGATGTGGCAGAAAGGTATGAGCCTCGGTTTTGGACCAGAGGGGTAGCGCCGCAGGGGTGGAACCCAGCGCCCCCGCTTCCCGAGTGGAACTCAGGTGCTGGCCTTAACGTCTGGGCGGTGGGCCCCCTCCGCCTGGCCATGACTCCTCCGACCTCCTCCCTTACGAGGCTTATCCCTCAAGGTCCAAGTAGGCTTCCTAGGTGGCTCGGCCACGTCCAGCGATGCCAGCGCGCGCGCCGCATTGGATGGGGGGCTACTCTCGTGGTGAAGGGGGGGGGGGGGGGGGGGGGGGGAGCTGGGCGTGAACCAAGAGGCTCTCCGAGGGCTCTGTGGCACCATCGACGGGAGCACGACTGTGCCAGCTAGCGAGTTGGCGGCGTTGTTTTGGGGTTTGGAATACACCGCGGGACCCATTTCTCCTGTGGACGGACTGCCAGCTGGTTTTCGACGGATGGAACCAGGGCCTCGGGACGAGACCCCAGGGGCCTTTAAAACGTTGCTCGGGCTGGATCAGCCGAGTCCTGGAAACCAGTGGTTAGGGCCGAGCTCAGGTGAACCATTTTGTTTCATCTCTGGATGTAGATTCCCATTTGGGCACCGGGCAGCCAGTATATATACCTCGAGGGAACGAGATGGCGGACGCGCTGGCCCAGCGCGGAGCGGCGGCCGTTGCCGACCCCATCCGCAGCCAGATCAAGGCCCTGCACATTGTTGACGCTAGGGCCACTTTAATGCACCAGAGGATCGAAGCGATCTGGACCAGTCGGATCGAGGGGAGTTCGGGGTTCCGCTTGGGCTGGATCCAGGACTCACGAGAATGCAGGAGTTCGAGGCCCGATCGGGCCACAAATTGTGTCGCCTGAGTAATGGCCAATGGCCCTGCACCAAGTGCCGCCAGACCCCAGGACGATTTCCCCGACTATATTGGCAACGGACAGGAATGTGCCGTGTGGGTGAGACTTCGAGGGGCCTTAGCGAGCTTGGCCACCATGCACGCGTCCCCCCCACCTTGGTTAGTGCCCTCCGTGTCGGCGACAAATTGGTGCACCCCTCGCACTCGATTGCCATGCAGCGCGGCCTGGCGTGGTGTTGGGGAATGCGCTTGATATGCGACCGTTGTGGAGGGCAAAGGTGGGTTGTGTAAACTGGCCAATGAGTGCCCCCGAGGTTGCACTCCCTCGGGTAAAACTATGTTGCGACGTCTCCGTAAAAGGCCTCACCCCGAAAACGGGGATGAAATGGCCCATTCCTCCCGCTGGGGGGTGGGGGAAATGTACCTCCCTTGCAAGTAGTCGGTCGTTCCGCTAAGGGCTTTGAGAACAGGACGGACGGGAGGGTGGGCCGCCGCTCGCAGAGGACCCCCCCCCGTTACGAATAATTTAACCCGCGGGAAGGCGCAGCAACGCTTCGACCTTTTCTGTAGCAGCAATATCCAGCAATCTCTCCTCGTATCGCCGCGCGGCGCAAGAACAGCAAACGAACCCCGACCTGACCCAGGCAGGGGCCCGACGTAACCGCGCGGGGCCACATGATCCAGGAGGGCAAGGTGCAGCGGCTGCGACCTGGCCCCAGAAGGGTGAGGACGAGGTAGGCTTTCAAGGGCTGTACGGTAGGTTCGCGTCGTGTCGACCAGCGGCGACCCCGCCGCGGGCGTTCAAGGTTGAATGCCGCCAGAGGCCCAGAGTCGGCCTAGATGGAACGATCGCGCGATCGGAAAGCCGCCGATCGTTCAAGGTTAAACGATCCACGCGGTGTCAGAAACCAACACCGGGGTCGTCACGACGCGAACCTGCCGCATCCCTCCTCGCCCTCCTTCCTGCGTTTCCACTGACAGGAGCTAGCGGCCGCCTCCTCCCCTCTCTCTCCCTCTCTGGGGCTGGGCGTGGTGGCGCCGCGGCGGCATCGGCCGCCTTCCTGGCGAAGCCAGGGGTTCAGGTGCTTGCCGACGAAACGTTCTGTGGTTCGATTGCCCCCTTAAGCGAAAGTGCCACACATTCCTACTCTTTCACTCGGGGGAGAAAAAGATACGGATACGTGTTGTCCACCTTCGTTTTCGGCCTTTCCTGGTCCTCCTGGGGAATCCTCGTTGTCACCGCTGGATTCGCCTCGAAACTCTGGTCAGAACGCACCCCAAGAGAGGTCTGGGGACAACACGTATCCGTATCTTTCCGCCCCCCAATTCACCCTTCCCTTCCGTTCTTATCCTATCTTTTCCCCTCCCCCTCACCATCGCCATGCTTCATTCATTGCTTTACACCGCAATCGCCGACCCCCCAGGAACCCTGGGTACCACTCCCGGTGGGTGTGGCCGCAGAAACATGTTGGTGCCGGACGTCCATTCGGGAACTCCTACACCGTACTCAACACGGATACGGCCCGTCTTGGGGCATTGGTAGGGTCGTTCTTGGGAGCCTCGAGGGCTTTCGTGAAGGCTGTGAAGACCGACGGGGAGATGATGCTGAACAGGTATGCTCTCCCAACGACATGTGTCAACTCTAGTTTCTTGAGACTCTATTAGGAGTTTTTGTTGGAGTGTTTTCGGGTCGTCTTCGGTACCTCCTGGGATGTCTGGAGGCCATCTTGCGGTGACGTGTTGAAGCCATGAGAGGCGAATTGGAGCGATGCGGCAGCCAGCGCGTTTGCCATTTTCCCGCCACTCCTCCTTCCAAAAAGGCTGGACCGGGCTCCCAGGGGAGGGGCGTGGGGAGGGGCGACCAAAGTCTCACACGCTGGAGAGGGAGACCCAATGGGTCAGCGACTTGTCCCTCTTCCCCCTCCGTGTTTTTCCGACCTCCCCCTTCTGCTATTCGTCGTTCCCTGCATTCTCCTCCTCGCCATCCGTTCTCCACCCCCTCGAGACAGCTTTTCATCCCCTGGCGAGAACGGGCGTGATCGGGGGGGGGGGGGCGAGGGGACGAGGGAGCTGGTCACGTCGCGATGCGAGCCATCGCCGTCTGGGACTGATTAGGAATCGCTCATTCCCATGCGGCGCCGGCGCGATGCGTGACGCGACCGGGGCGGAGGGGGGGCGGAGCCGGTCACGGGCATCATCGCGAAGAATGAAAGGATACTCCAGATTTCGTAATAAAGGGAGGGGGGTCTCATTTCGGGGGGGGGGGTCTCTTCCAGGCTATCCTGGAGGGCCTGGGGGGGTCTGGGGACGATGTTTTGGAGGGTTCTCCCAGGGGGGGGGTCTAAAACTTGTCGTCTGGGAGGGTTGAGACCCCCTCCCTTTTATTACGACATCTGGAGTAGGCTCCTCCCTCGTGTCCCCCTCCTCTCCATCCCCGCTCATGCCTCCCTCGGCAGGCGGGCCGGGTCACCATCGCCGCCTCGTCGAAGCCCTTCGTCGAGCGCGCGCCGCTCGGAACGCCCCGGGCGGGCGCGCACGGCGTCGTGCGCGGGCCGGGCCGGGCCTTCCCGCCCCTTCCCGCCTCGTCTTCGTCTCCTCTTCCTCGCTGGAGCCACAAGTGTGTGTTCGCCTTCGAGCGGGGCCAAAGAGTGTCTCCAGGGCTCCGGCCCACCCGCCGTGCTCTCACAGGGCCATCTTTTTGGACGTGTGTCGGCATCTCGACTCACCGCGCCTGCCTCTTCTAACCTCCCTCCGTCCTCCTTATCCTCGCACTTAGACCCCCCATGCCTCCTCCGTCCTCCCTCCATGCCCCCATTTCCTCCCTCCTCCGGTCCATGCCTTCACCTCGTCTTCCAGTTCCTCCCGCTAGTCCCCCTCGTTCCCCTTCCCCTGCTTCTCCCTCCGAGAGGGGGGGGAGCAGGGGGAGCAGGAGGAGGAGGAGCAGCAACAGGGAGGGAAGGAGCAAGGCGGAGCGTTCTGTCTCCCCCTTCGTGTTCGCCCCCATCCTCGCCTCGCGTTGTTGTTTGTTCTCTTCTTTGTGTCCCTTTCGTTCCCGATTCAACCGTTCGTTTCCTGTCCGTTTTCGTCCAGGTGTATCGGTCGTCTGTTCCGAGGTACGACGTTCAAATTCAATCGCGACAGGACTCGTTCTTACCGCACCCCCTCCACATAAGAAATTGTTGTTCCCCCTTGCGACGACGGCCGTCTTTGGAGGGGTGGGGTGGGGGCGTCATCATCACGGGTCGCGCTGGCGCCGTGGCCGTCTGGACAATTGTTGTTTCTTGACATTCTAAGATGGCGCTAGCGCGAATCGTTACGTTACCAGGTGGGAGGGGCAGCGCGTTCCCGTCGCGTTATCGCAAGTCGTGAGGGCACGCGTTCAAGTAGGAAAGTCGGAAGTGATGAGGATGCGAAGCGGTGAGAACGAATGGGGAGGAGAGTGGAGGAGGGCGGTAGGGGGCAGGAGGTGGGGGCTGGAGCGAGGGAGCTGGTGTGGGGATGGAGGAGAATGGCGAGACGGAGGAAGAGGTATCCTTCATGCCGACGTCTCGTTGGCCTTGGCCACCCCAGTGCCCACGCCGTCGTCTGAGGTTCGGTGCCACATTTTCTCTCTCGGTGTTGTCCCTGACTTGCTGCTGTGCACACGGCAGTTCCCCTCAGCTCAGCCCCGGCAGCCCCCCCTGAGGCTTCGGCCGCGCTTAGTTGTCGCCTCGCCCGTCGCTCTGTTGGTTTTCCCGTGTTTCTCTTGTCTTTTATCGCCTCGGCCCCTTGCAGGCGCACTCTGGCAGTACTGTGCCCCAGCTTTCTGTTGTTAATGAGTCTGTGGCGCGTATCCGCTTCGACTTGACACGCCGCCGGCGCTTCCGCCCGCGGCCGTTGACTAAAAACGTATGCTCACCATCCCATCCAGGAGCGATATGCTCTTACAGCGGGGGTCGCGGTATCGTTTGGAGAGCTCGGGAAACCTCCGTGGTCCAGAGGCTTGTGGGATCCTTCTCGCAGTCTCTTGGGGTGCCTCTTGAGGTCGTTTGGAGACTCCTGCGGTCTCCGTGGCGGCTCTTCGAGGCTTACTTGGGCGCTGTCGGGGTTTCTTGGAGGTCTATTGGGTCCCCCCCCTCCTCCTGCTCCTCCTCCTCCTCCTCCTCCTCCTCCTCCTCCTCCCCCTTCTCCTCCCCAGATCGGTGGTGTGGGGGTGGAAGGGGAACCTGAAGGAGATGGGATGGACGTGGGCGGGGGAGCAGAGGATGAGAACAGTCCGAGACGATGATGGAATTAGGGTTGAGGAATGAGGGAACCTGATAATGGCAGTCGCAGAAGGGAGGACGGAGGAGTCGAATGAGGACCAGAACTTGAGAGGGGGGCATGACGTGGCGTGGGGGGTGGAAAGAAGGATGATACTGTGGATTGTGGATGGGGGATGTGCGTCAGGATGAGAAGTGGGACAAGGGGATGGAATGGGCGGGGGACCGGATCTGGTCAACGTGCACGGAGAACGTGTTGGGGTTTTCAAGCCCGTTGTTTGTGTATCGCGTTCGTATTATTCATGGTTCTCCCGTCCACTTCACGAGTCCGCCTTTCCATCCATACTTATAGTTGTCCTTTTCCTCCTCCTCCTCCTCCTCCTCCTCCTCATCTGTACCATGCCTCGTTCAGTCAATGAGATAACATTCACTCCCGCCTGCGCAGTACCACCATCCATCCGCCGCTGTGGACGCTTCGGTTCAGAATCTTGTGCGCTTCAGAGGAGGGTGTAGGCCAATTAAACTGTGTAGCGTCTTCCTCGCTTCGCAGGCGAAGCGAAGAATCGCCACCATGTCGTCGATCAACACGGAGGGACAATTCATGAACATGGCCGTTTCGAAGAGTCCACCTGAGATACAAGAGTATGGACAAGATGTATCACATTGGTTGGGATGTGTCTGCCAGCGATTAGAACGTCTGGCCCAAAACAGGCGATCAGCCGAAAGCTCATAGAATACTGAAAAGACGCGTGCGGACACCTCGTACGTTGAGCCAAATTTCTGCCTTCATCGCAGCTGCAACGTGGCTGGCACGGGAAGCGTAAGTCCCCAAGAGAGTTTGGACGATTTTGTAAATATGATCTTTCCGGGAAGCGAATGTCGGGAAGCCCCGTTGGAGTTTTATCGAAGATGAAGAAATAGGGAATAGTTCGGGTCCTGGTTAAGGGGACCTCGTTAGTGATAGTGATCATTCGTTTATGACCAAAGGTGCGACGTTTGGACTTGTATTCGCGTGGGGGCGCGCCCCCAGCATGGCCATTGGTCGACGTCTTCCACACAAGATCAAGCGCCTCCCCCTCCGTTCCCTCGTCCCTGCTGGTTTCGTCAGACGCTGCATTCCCCTCCTGTCCGTGGGAAGTTTGGGCGCAAACTTTGTGATCATCCGTATTCGCTGGATGACACAGGGCTTGCGCGCCATAGTGTTGTTAGCGCCATGTCCTTCAACGGTGTTCAGCTGGCATTGTCGCGCGCGTTGGACGACAACCGCATCGGAAAGGCCGCTAAGGATATCCGGATTAGCCTACTAAGTTCCGTCTAGGGTGGAGTTCACGTGGTACCCCCCCGAGATGCCCAGGAAAATCGCTGCTGACCAGGAAGAAAGCAGGTCACCCCAGAACGCGCGGCGACGGCAGCTCTGGTTAGTGATTCTGCCCCGGGACGCCGCCTTAGCCTGCGCGCGGTGCCCGCAAAGGGCCGGTACCGGACGGGGGCCAGAATCACTAAACCAGGTTTGCTGCAGTTTGTGTTTCATCGGGTGGCGTCACGTTGCGGTTAGTGGGTTGGCCCCGGGGCTCCTTGCGGCACATGGCCGCCGCCCCGCCCGGGGCGCGTTGGGGGACTTTGGTCGGGGCCGCGGCGTTGTGCCAGGGCGGCGGTGTCGCCCCTTCCCCCCCTTCGCGTTCTTTGTGTCCGATTCCAGCAAGGCGCTTTCTGTTCTGGTCCACAGGAATCCCCTTTGGGGTCGTTTCGGGGCCCCCCGGGGACCTGTCGTGATGTCCTTGAGGTATCAGGACGATTTCGAATCGCGCGCTCGTGGGAACCCAGAATTTCGGGAGACCAACCTCCCGCCACAATCGGGGAGAAACAACCACCATCTGTTTGCGATCTTGGGGAACCCAGAACTTGGCTGTTGACCGACAGCGGCAGGGCATTGGAGCCATTCCGCGAGGATCCTACCAGTGCGAGCGATGATCGGAGAAACTATGACACATCTTTGCTGTTGTCTTAAATTGGGGCTGGGGGATCGAAGTTGGCCAGCAGGCAGTCGAGCGATGCTTTCGAGCTGCGGCGGGGCGGCGTCCTCCGGTCACCGCAGAGGGCAATTTTGATTCAGGCGTGCCTGTGCAAGGCGACGAGATCCGAGGAGTCCGAGAGCTTTGGTTGTGACTCCTGCGTCTCCCGCGCTGACTCCAATGCGGGGGGCCTGGGCTCGGCTCTCTGGTATAGTGAACCAGATGAAGTTGGTTCGGATCTCCAATTATGAGGTGAAGGTTATGCGCCGTTTGTTGCAGGTTGGATCGGTTCCGGGCGAATTGCATGTATGAAGACCAAAGATGGGCGGCTAGCCAATCTGTCATTCCATTCGGGCAGGTCTTCGCCTGCGCGGAGGACCGGCGGATCTTCCGTCGCATGTCCAGGACACGGAGCCGTCGCGTGGTTTAAGCGGGGGCGGAAAAGAGGGGGGCGATGAATAGGGGGGGTGGATATCATGGAAGGAGCCCTGATATTTCCCCAGATCTCATGGCGCCTCTCCTTATTTCATTACGTCCCTGGCCCCCCCGCTGGGCCGCGCACGCGCCGCCGGTCATGATTTGCACCCCCCCCTCTTGGACGCCCCCCTCTTGGCCGCCCCCGATTTTAGGCTTGCGTTGATGGCCGAGGCCAAGCGCCAGGACCTGCGCAGGTCCGCGGACGGTGGGGCCCCTGTTTCGGGCATCAATTTTTTCCGATTGCCGCGACAAAAGACGTCTCCAGTCTCATGCAGCGAAGGAGAGCGCTGGAGCGATCGCTGCCAGGGTGGATCCTGCTAGCGGCGCCGCTGCTCTCCCCGATGGCGATGGGACAGGCGGCGCGGGCGCGGGAACGCCACGACGGGCCGATCCGTTGAACTGATCCCGCCCCGAAGCGGAGGGTGCCGAGATTTTAATTGCATTCGGCGTGGCAGCACGCGTCAACTGCGTCACCGTGCTGGGCCCTCGAAGACCCGCATTTTCCAGGAGGCGTCTGCCGCGCGCGGGGCGGCGCTCGACGGTGCGGAGGCACGGCGGCCGAGCGCATGCGATCGCACCTTCACTGCGATTCCCCGGGCCCCCAGGTCGAGGTCCGGGCGCGTTGCAGCCCTTGAAGACTTGTTGGCAATCGCGAGAATGCGGGCCCAAAGTTGTTGTTTCTGGGAAAAGCGGCAGATCCCTTCGGGCAGGTTCTGTGGAGAGACGATAAGTAATACGCGTTGTTGTTGCAGCCCGATGCCGCTGGGAACCC